CCCCAAAACCCCAAAACCCCAAAACCCCAAAACCCCAGACTTGATATTGAAAATTAATGTTTGTTAAAAAGATTATAAATTTCAGAAATATAAAATGATAAGTATTTTGTAAAAGTCAAGACAATTCAAGGTCTTAAGCAAGTCTAATCAATCATTAAAAGCTATTAACATTCCATAGAGACAATATAATACAATTTTTGAAAGATAGACTAATTATGCTCCAGTAAACATGGATACAAGTATGGTCATAAATATAATCGAGGGTATGCAGATTTAATATGGAATGAGCTTTCCAAATAGTCTGATATTAATGCAATTTTGCCTTAGATTGGGCAACATTCCTCTTAAGTATGTTATGAGTGTAAGCTTTTCATTATCTTGATATTAAATGCATAGAAAATCGTTAAAGATGAGCAAGTAATGATGAAGTATAAGGTACCCTACCAAAAATTTATACTGAATGATCTTGAAAAAGACGCTAAATATTATGTAATCTATATATTTTGTCAATCATAGGAATAGAATTGGAATGAATAAAAGTTTAATGAAATGATTGCCTGATACAAACCTTCGGTTATAGCCACATAAGTTATTACTGTAAATATATTCATCACAAAAAATAATAGAATCACTATAGCTATACAGTTAATATATTGTCTACAGATCATTAAGCTTAATAAGTAATTACCCTTAGTACTTTTCACCTGAAATGCTCCCTTATCTTTCATATGATCCGACTTTTATATTACCTCTGATAGTTATGAGTCTAAATTATGCCTTAATCTAGGTAAAAATAGCTATTTTAATATAACAGAAATCCGATCACCCATTTCTGGTCAATGTTAGAAATAGATGGTCTATTATTAGCAAATCTTTGTTCGTTATATACTTTTCTTCAGTGTCAATAGTCCTCCCTCAAGCTCACTTAATAAGCTATATATCATTTGGATTGACTCACTTACTATTAAAAGAAGGTGGATAAATAATAAGAAATTATAGATAAGACAAGATATTGAATGACATATTCAACAAGTGAAAGAATAGATTAATCCAAGTAATTAATAAGATATTAGTTATAAGTTTTATGGTAAAAAAATAGTCCAAATAATTAATTGCATCCTTTATTCATATCAGTTCCATTATGAAATTAAAGGCTTAATATCTTAAGATTCTTAATAGGAAATCATTTCATCTCATATCCTCTTTTCAGCAAATGAGCACATCTAACTGACTAAATTTAAGAGGATCATCTTGCATTAGTTTAACCTTTTTGTTTTGGTTGAGAAATAGCAGATCAATAAATGTTTTCACGGCTGTCTCTTTCTCCGATAGCTGGCTAAACGAGTTATTTTGCACTTCATTTACAACTTGCTCAAAGTTAGATTACTTTGGGAGACTCTTAATCTTCATGTAGGTATCTTCACTTCTTTTGAAGACCTAGGATTCATAGTTTTCTATTTCCTAATGAAAATCTTTGCTTTATATCTATTAAGGAGTAATATCACCAAACTTCGGCTTTGAAGGAGTAGCAGACTGGATTGCACTCATATTTTAATTGTTATTTAGCATACTTTCAAAGTTAAATGGCTAGTCATCGTTTTGAAAGTTGAATTACTCAGCACCAAACTCTCCAAGAAATGATTAGTTCTACTCATCCATTGTTGGAGACTTGAAGAAATCGATATCAGCTCTTGATCTATTTTGGGTTCTCTCATTGTCGTCAAAGGACAAGAAACTCTCAGCGTGAGGGTTCAGTGTCAATAAAGTAGAACCTCCTAAGGATTTTCTCTCAGAATGATGATCATTTTCCTTTTTGAAGTTGGCTCTTAGTACTCCAATGTTTGAAGTGTTATTGGTACTCATATCGTTCAGGACATGGATAGCAGCTGATTGTTTGAGGATCAGATTTGACATGTTTTTCACAAGATCATCTTCCTCATTGAGATTTGCTAGATTTCTTATTCTACCTTCATTCTCCTGTTTGATCTTTAGTCTTGCCTGAGCTAGTTGAGTTTTCTTGTCATACTTCATCATCTCCTGCCTGATAAACTATACTTGTTTTTTGTTGTTTTGCTTTCTTATTTTCTTCTCTGCTGGGGCCTTATTTCCAATATTCTCCAAATCCATCAAAGCTCCTTGATCAAAGAACATATCGCTCATGTTTTAGTCCTCGTTCTTAACTTGGAAATTGTCGATGTCATCATCAACCATATTGTTCAAGAATGGCACTTCATCAATATTCATCATTGGATAGGCAAAGTTAGTATTTTCTGGCTAATCATTAAGCAATCTGTTTGCGAAGTTCACCACATCAGTAGTAATGTCATTGTTCAGAGCATCTGTTCTCCCGCCATACTCAAATATATTATTTCTGATCTCATCACCAAAAGTGTTATCCATCATATCTGGTGACTATCCATTTAAAATTTCCATAGCATTGGCAGGCATTCTCATGTTTCTGAAATCATTCTCATCTTCTCTAAAGCCATCTTCTCTCTTGATGTTTGAAAGTCCAAAACTGTAATTTCCTCTTTTTTAATCTAGAAACTCAACTCCGTCTTGCATATCAATGTCCTCACCCTTCATTAAGCCTCTGCTCTTGATATTATCATCCAAATCTCTCTTGAAAGCATCCTAAATCTAGTTTAAGACTTGCTAATCTATTCCTGGGTATTTGATTGCGCTTAAATCTATAAAATTCTTTGGCTTTGCATGGTTTGCGAAATTCTGATCTCTCTTTGTTCTCTCGCGGTATTATCTCTTCGATTTCTCTCCACTGTTCTAGTTTTACTCTAGATCTCCAAATGGATTCTTGAGATTATCAAGAGTTGAGTTAGACTCACTCAATAGATAGTTCATTTTCCTATATAGCAACTTTGTTAGACCCAGAACTAATGGAACCATAGCTCTAAAGTCAACGGATCCTTGCTGTAGTAGCTGCATTAATAATCTGAGAGTATGCTTAAGGTCCATCGATTGAATGAGTGGTTTGGAAAGTCTTCTTTCGAAGTAGCAGGCAATCCATAATTATTTCAATTCATCATCATTCTGAGGAATGGCATTTTCTGGCTTAACATTGATTTTCTGATTCATATTTGAATAGTGGGTATTCTCTTCACCTTTAATCATTTTGAGTTGTTTGGAGGATAAATTTGAATTTAAATTAATTTTATTTTTGTTAATGTCATTAGCTTTAAGCATATAAGTATGAGGGGTTTTGGGGTTTTGGGG